ATTACTAAATTTTATAAATTGACAAATTCATTCTTTTTAGAAAGTGCATATAATTTGGAAAAGAGACCATCAATCCACTGGGGGCTATCGCATGAAAGCAATGATTATAGAATATTGTAAGGTTGGAGGAGTTATAGTACAACAGGCAGGCAAGTAATGGTACTTTGTTCTGGAAATTTTTTGCCCCAGTTAAGGTTTATTTTTCTCATTCTGCCCTCCTTACAAGTAGGTGAATTTAAAACGGGACAAATTCGAAGAAGGCAGCATATATCTTTTAAACACAAATGTGTCTGATCAAATTTTAAAAGGGCAAAATTGTTTTCAAGGGTGAAAGAGTGAATATTTTAAAAATTAGAATGGGGTGAAAATATCCAATAATACAGGTTATATGTATTAAAACAGTACATATGCATTTCTCTTTTCTTTAAAATGAAAATAATTTGCTCTGTAAAAGGACAAATTTTGTTCTGATTTGTATCAAATAAATAAATATGTGCCAGATTTATTATTTTGCAGGCACCTAAGATACCATCAGTTGTGCGTCAAGCTGTGCAAAAATTCTATGTCATGTTACAGAATCTTTCTTAAATACAGGTATATGTCTGCTCATCTGGCAATCTTAGGACATCACTGGATGGTTTTGTTTAAAAAGATTACAGAGTTAACACACACTTCCAGCATGAAGACCAGCCAGTTGCCTCACCTGTCCTGACATTGTTAAAGGTAAATGGCCCTTTCAGAAAAGGATCTGACAATGCAAAGGCTTGCTAATCAATTAAAGATTTCTATTTACTAATAGGTAATTAATTTGAATTTCTGTAGCTTAAAAATTTAATGATGTGAATTAAAAGAAATATTTTAATCAAAATTATTTTTATTTCAGTACTTTGTGACAGTGAAAAGACATGGCTTTAAATTACTGCATCAGAGATCAATCCAGGTTATAAATCTGAGGAAAACAATAAAGCATCACTTCGAGCTACTTATATCACTGCCTTAATAAGTTGTCTGCATGTGTAACTAACAAAGGACAGTGACCAGTTGTACCTATGATATCAGAGGGCATCCTGAAAAACACTCATCACTAAGAATAGAAAACTTCAAATGACTTTTGTATCAATCCTTTTGAATTTCATCTGGCTTGGAATTTCAGTAGCCTTTAGCATCCTTCAAGCATTTCATGAAGTACATGTACCAATTTGCAGGTATAAAATGTTTGAAACAGATTGCTTGTCCCAAATAAAAAAAAATAAATTTTCTGCCAATTAATAGTGTCATAAGCAGTTGATTGATATCACAGTTCCACTGGCATAGTATTTGTAGTTGAATGGTGCCATTTTTAAGAAAACTTTTCACAAAAACCTGGAAAACATCAGATGGAAAGGAGCATCTACAAGAAAAACAGTGAACACTTTCTTGAATATTAACAATGATATGTCATGTCCATTTACATCCTTTATATAAACTAATTAACCAAATCATAGAGAATTATGTACAAATTTGTCCTTTTGTGTATTCATAGTGTATTAAATTGATTTTACTAATTTATAAATATTTATGTTTTTCACAGTCATTAACATTTAAAAATAGAAGTACATATAACATGAAAATATTACATGTTTAGTAGGATAACGTGAAATTGTTATACCACAAAAACCATCGCTGACCTCGCCTCGGTCAGCAATGGTTTTTAAGGGGTAAGAATTTCACATCACCCAAAATAAACAGGTAATATTTTTCTTGTTATAGAATGCATTTTAAAGAAAACAACAAGGTGAAACGAACGTGCAAACATTCTGCACAGTTAACATTTTTTATTACTGTATATACTGTTACCCGTAGTCATGCATTTTCAACCATTGGGATGTAATGTCTGGCATGCAGTATGGTAATAGTACTTGTTAACAAATGTTTTTTAAACCAATCAAATTTGACTATTTAACATGAAAGTGTATAACAAATTTATCTAGCATAATGTTGTTGTAAGTAACGATGGAATGTGAGCTTGTGTGAACTTGATCCTGAAGTATTAAGTTTTGAATATTGTAATAAAGAATTGTGCAGCCTAAACTTTAACTTGTACCTGATTTAAATGGAGTTCCGTCATTAACAAGTTGGAAGTTGTTACACTCTCCATGAGTATAATAACTGGGGGATCTGCTTCATTTGCAGATACATGGATAACACATATTCACTCAAAGCGCTGTCTCTTTTTCAGTACCTTGTGCAGCCCTGTAATATGTTATGACAAATAGAGAAAAATGCCTATTTCAAGAAAAAAAAAGTCTGTCTCATAATTGTAGAAGTATTGGAAAGGGGGGGGGGGGGGGGGGTGGTCATGAAACTTAGCAGTTAATACAGTTTGTATGTGTAAATGAAAAAAATGCCTTCTTCTTTGTAGAATAAAAAATAATTATTTTTTGAGTGTATGTGACCATTTTTATTTCTGAATAGACAGGGTAGCCTACAGAATGACCAATTTTGAGCTGACCATTTTTATTTATTGTAGTAATTAAATTAAAAAAATGTGTTTTCTACAAAGATCATATGTTATCGACGTGGTATTCAACTTTGTATTCCCATGGTCGATGCATTTGGGTACATCTATTTTTTTATTTGCTTTCAATGACATCGCATTCAATATCCCAATCTCATGTATACCTGTCCAATACTCCAAATTATACCATATTGTAAGCTAAATCAATGCTTTAAATTTATGAAACCAATCTGTAGATAAGCGTACCTTTTGAATACAGACGATTTTAGAATAAAAACGATTTAATTTTCCCTTTATGCTTAAGTATGTTGGCTAATCTTGGCCCCCTCGGAATAGCTTGTGTTTACGTTATGTAATGAAAAAATAAAGCAATTAAACGCTATTTACCTGCATCTATCAATCCATTTTCTCCTCTTCTTTGCAACAATCGGGAATCAAAACAAACTACAAGTTTAATAATTCCACTGCGATGCTTACAACTTAAGTAATCCATTGTCTCCAAGAACGCTGAGGTACCCGGGAGTAATAAAACGAAAGTGAAAGTCAACGAGACTTACAGACCCTTTGAATTTTCCTATAGTATACATGATAGATAAGTGTAATAAATATAATTTGTGAGCAAAACAAACTACAAATTCTACTGGTCTGCTTAAAACTAAATGCGAAGCTGTAATCCATTGTCTGCAAGAATGGTAAGTTATAAAACGAAAGTGAAAGTAAATGAGAATTAAAGGCTATAGTCTTGGGAGCAGTTGTTATTTCATAAATAATTTGAATAGGTGATATCACCTATTGGAATAAGTGATATCACCTATTCAAAATGATTAAGTGATATCACCTATTCGAATAAGTGATATCACCTATTCGAATAGGTGATATCACCTATTTGATTTGAATAGGTGATATCACCTATTCGAATAAGTGATATCACCTATTCAAAAGGAATAAGTGATATCACCTATTCGAATAAGTGATATCACCTATTCGAATAGGTGATATCACCTATTCGAATAGGTGATATCACCTATTCGAATAGGTGATATCACTCATTCAAATTGAATAGGTGATATCACCTATTCGAATAGGTGATATCACTTATTCGAATAGGTGATATCACCTATTCGAATAGGTGATATCACCTATTCAGAAGCTGAATAGGTGATATCACTTATTCGAATAGGTGATATCACCAATTGAATAGGTGATATCACCTATTCGAATAGGTGATATCACTTTTTGGCAGTAAATACCAAAACGGCGCCTCATATGTACATGCCACGTTTTTCCTTTTCTTTATACGACTTAACTGCATTCTTCCCTGTTATGAGTTAAAAAATATACTCGTATTTTCAAAAATCACACATGTCCTTTGAAATTGGAATTACCGGATACCATATATGACTGAGTACATGACGATGCGGTATCGACATCGATCCTGATCTGTAAAACTTATTTTCAAGTTAATGTATAGTAAAATTATATAAGAGCCCAAGCAAGCGATGTCGATATTGATTCATTTTTTTACATGAATATTTAAATGAATAGAGAGTTAGGGTGAAGGTTGGTAAAAACATGTCTTGAACATTCATGATTCGATATCGATACGATACTGTAGATATCGACGATGTCGACAGTAGGACAAACTTAGAAAGTACAGATGCATAAGTCTTGCATAAAGAAATACAAACACAAGAGCGATGACAAAAATTACTCAGTATCGAAACGATATCGTCGATATTGACAATATCGATGGTAAATACAATCTTTGTCAATGTAAAGTATTTAAACAAAGACACACATATACCACGACAATTACAGTACCAATCAAGGGTTGAACAAACATGATTTGATATCGAAGCGATATCATCGATATCGGTGATCACGATGATATAAGGAAAATTTCATAAAGTGATAGTATTCAAGTACACTCACATGTCAAAAAGCCTCAGATTTTTTTTTGGTGGGGGGGGGGGGGGGTACTATGATTCATTGAAAAATCATGATTTGATATCGATACATTGTGACAGAAAGGAAAACTTCGTAAACAGAAAGTATTTAAATATACACATAAGTATAAAGAAATAATGTAGCAAACTATGAAAAAAAAGTATTCTATCGATATTGTAACTACATCTTGTCTAGAACATAACTCTTAAAAATAGATATTCCCAAATTTATATTTAGCAATTCAATAGCGATTTACTTATTTTAATAAGGTATTCCGAAACATTTTTCTATTTTACAAAAGGTAATAAACAATAGTTATCATATATATTTAGTTAATATCTCTCTATTTTGAATGTTGTAATTTTTTAATCATTTTCACCAGTCACTAAATCTTTACAAAGATTAAATATATATAGGACGACATCTACTGAAACCAGTCGGACGCTTCTTAGTTTAGCTATATGCATGGCATTTTTCTTAGTAAATAGACTTGACTTAAAAGTAATTTCGGACAAAAAAACTTTGATTCATTTAAAATATTAAAAACTGCACAAACCTTGAGAAATCCTTCTAAATTTGCGAAAAAAACTACTTCTATTCCTTTTCGATCCAAGATCCTGCAAACACACAAATTCTACACTAATACTGTAGTTAAGCGAAAAAAAACTCATAAAATCAGTAATGATACAATTAGGCGGTATGCGATACTGTTTTAAGGGGTTGGTGTAATTGATTTTGGTAGAATCTGTAAAAATCGATGTGTCATGATAAGAGATGTTCTCATATGTTATAACAGTAGCAGGGTAATGCATTGGACTAGTACGCTATTCTATCATCGTTTATTTAATTTTGCACCGAAAAGAAAACAAATTGCAGAACGATTCTGTTACATCTCTTTCCGATAAATCCCCGTACCATTTGATAATCACTTTGACATGTCACAAATGCTTCCTCTGTTAGAAAGTAGTTAATTCCTAAAAACTAATAAGCCTAAGGGCATGTTTTTTTTTAATTTAAGTTTAAACAAACACTTTTATTCTGATGTTTTTCTATGACATATTTATAGTTCTTACTAGTTTTTTTTTCTCCATTTTTTGATGATTTTTGAGAAGTGTTATAAACTGGATAGACAGGCCTTTCAGTATATTTTTTTATGAATATATACCGTCAAGAATGAAAAAAAATATATTGAAAAGCTATACGTCAAATTAATTTTTCAAGATATTCATCTCTGTCTTTCTTTCAATCAACGTATCAATTTATAGTTAAACAAGTTTGGAATGTTAAAGAAACTCCAAAAATACTCTTTGTAATGAAGTATAGTCTCAGTAAAAGTCGTTTATAAGTATAGTCTCAATATAAGTCGTTTATAAGTAAAACAAATTAGGTATGTTAAAGAGACACAAACAGATTTTTTATAGTAAAGTACAGTCTCAGTATGCGGTATGTGAATTATACATTCAACACAATACATTTTGCAGACTGAAGAAAGACTTTTGAAATGCTTCAACCAAACATTATGTTCTTTAAGATTAATCATGTCACCTAAAGGCTTATATCAATATATTTGCAAGAATGTGGATTTTAGCTAATGTCTTCTGCGGGTGAAGCTGACAATATTAAAGTTCTGAGGGATACATTGTTTGTTCCACGTGAATTTTGAATCCCTCTCTTTTTTGTTGTTAGCTTTTAGAACATAGAAAATAAGTCATTTAGAAAATAATGTATTGAACTTAACTTTGAATATAACTACAACACTGCAATGGTAATATGGGAGAAATTTTTATTAAAATAATGGATATTGTTACACAAATCAGAATCTTGATGTCGGTATAATTGGCCAGTGTATTTGCTCAATATTATATAATTAAAAATCAAAACATTATTACAAAACAAATTTGATACCACAGATAACTTCAAGCGAATTTTCAAATGTACAATACCCATTTTGATATGTGTATTGTCTATCAAAAATGACGTTTTAGATAAGCATGCATATTTGTGAGAAAAGAAAGTTTTAATTATACTCTACAGCGAAAACATGTAATAAATGAGACTGAAAAACATGACTTCTTATTGAACAAGTTTCAAATGAATGAGTATTCTAGAGAGATGTCGGGGTACACTGAATCCACTGACACCCGAAACGTAATATGATTCATACCTCCTTGTGCGGTCAACACAACGACCTTTCCTATTGTTTTTCCTGATACACTTTATTTTAACAAATAAAATATACAACATGGATAGACATGTTGTATATTTTATTTGTTAAAATAAAGTATATCAGGAAAGACACTATCTACACTTCGAGAATACTTTACCTTATCCATATGCAGTTGTTGTCTCGCCAGACGTTCTGAAAACACTTCGGGTATTATGATTTTCTGAACGCCGAAAAATGAAAGGTTCCGAACACATTCGTAGGCGGAGGAAAAATATGTTATTTTGATGTAAATTTCGGTAAGATACTCATATAATTTTGATCAATGTTACCGAATAATGTTGTGAAGGCTTTCGTATTGAATAAAAGTAATTTTCTAGCCCGTATTGACTTCATTTAAAAGGAATATTTCGAAACAACAAAGAACCCAATACATCGGCCCTACCCCCCAGTCTCTGATATTTACAATTTTGTTTTCCTTTACCCTTAGATGCCATTTAGCTAAAGTCGTTGAAATTTGTTCAGCTGTTCCAAAGAAGAAGCTGAAAATGTTCAAAAGTTTACGACCGACGAACACCGCACGACACACGATGACGGACGAAGAGATACAATAGGTCACCTGAGAGATATAAGAGTTTTGTTATGCAAGTAAGAATTGGAAATAACCCCGGGTATCCGAGATGTGAACTAGTTATGGTATCACTTTGAGATAGTTGACTTATATAAAAGTGCAATGCATGCTGGTAATTTGTTAATAATAACGACGCCTCTGTCATCAGTTGGATCAGAAAATTACAAATAATTTCATCTCTGAGAGTATTCATATTGACAATCTGTCTACTTGATATGTTCTTGTTATTAATCATTTGGTTGTATTTTTATAAGGCCTCTTCAAGTATCTGACAGTAATTGCTTGCAATCCACATGTTCAAGGCCAGTTTTCATCATAATAAATCTAATTTTATTAATATCTATCACTATTGGAGGTTTTACTGACACCTTATTTGGTCTTCTTGTCTGTTTACATTACATTTTTATTTTGAATGTGTACGTAGGAAATATATAAATTTAAGGTGTATGACTATAAATTTTGATTTTTTATAACATTTTTATACCAATGCATTTTCAGCTGTGAAATGTCAAACTAAATGTTCTCTTTTTTGTACCCAATTTTTGATTTTCAGATTTACAGAAAGTGCTTACATATTGACATTTTTAAAAATATTTATAGGATTTTTGAAGACAATTCCCATCTCCTCGATTCAGGGTGTCTCGATATATTCACGGCAAGACAATGTATAAATTGATATGAGATATTGTAACTTGTTAAATCTAAACAAAAATTTTGTGGATTTACATTGTAGTCTCATTTCTACCATTGGCCTACGAAACACGAGAATGGATATTCCAAAACTAACGGCTAGAGATAAAATTGAAGAAATATTATAATTCTATAACATTATATCTTAACTGCAATCGCGATTAATATACTTTTGCGTATTATGAGAACATTCTTTGCAATTGTTATTATGTTGGAATACGTTTATTTTATTATTTTTTTTCCAAGACAATAGAAAATATAATTGGGAATTATAATTTTTAACTACAAGAACTGAAAAACAGGCTGTAAATATAAATACCAAATATCTATCTCGCGCAATTAAGTTGTCACGAAAACTTGGTGATCTACAGTAACTAGCTCTAGATCTAGTAATTGTGTTATGTATGCTAAAAAGAGTAAAATTTACAAGAGAATAGCATTATACGATCTTTAATTAAAACCAATTAAGAATACATGTAATTGATTATAATGGTTGGCACAACCGAGGAACTTTCCTTTATTCAGTTTTTTACTGGAACATTGTTAGTATTTGATAGCGGAAATGTTGAGAAAATAGATCAATTTAACCAAGATATTGCGACGATTTCAAGGACTCGCCATAAACTATTTTTATAGAAATTCTAAATAGTAGTTCAAAAATCAATATGGCATATTGACACATTGGGCCCTTAAACTATTTTAGCACTGCTGTTTTCTGGGAGCATCTCTTCGACAGTTCCCCATAAGAACGTTAACAATCACTGATGTCAGAAAAGAATTTAATAAAAGAATTTAAAACTTAAGACTTATCTTCATTATCATGAGAAAATAGCAACCATGTTATCTTTTTAGATAACATTTTTTCTTCATTACCTTCAGATTCGTGATGTGATACATATCTTTCTTTTCTAGAATAGAAAATCTTATTTTTTTTCTTATTGTTATATTCTAGTACATGTAAATAATGCTTTTTTAATAATTAATTCTAAATTAGTTTTTCCAAAGATGAACGAACGTTGCTTCAAAATATCAATTAAAAAGCAAGAATTGTCGATACAAAAAATACTGTATGACAAGCAAAGCCTCGATGCTTCTATCGCATAATAATTCCCACGAGTAAAGGAAAAACTTCACTTTATACATGTATCAGTTTGAATCTGTTGTTGTTAAATTCTTTGATAATATCATATATCACTAATATATCATTAAGAGTACAGAACAACACAAAGAAAATATTTTTCAATGTGACAATGACTGATGTATTTACCGTTTGTATTTATCAATATGCCAAGAGGTTTTAATGAAAATAGCATATCAGTTTATCCTTTTTTTCTTCCAGAAAAACAGGGACAATCATACAAAAAAAAAGCATGCCTCAGATCAACTCTAAATGCGAAACAGGGAAACATAATTTTTAAACAGCACAATATCTCGATCGATTGCCTACAAGAAGAATTCCTTTGTGCGCAAATGTGGCTTGAACAAGGTCCTGATGAACATTAATTACAGTATTTAAAGTCTTCCGAAGGAAATGTTGCATTTGCAGTGTGGAATTCAATTTTGTTACTGTTGGATTCGGGTTTCATTCATAAAAGAAAGCCCTTTTTTATGCCCCTGTAATCGAAGATTCGGGGGTATATAGTTTTTGCCCTGTATGTCCGTCTGTCTGTCTGTGTATCTGTTTGTCTGTTTGTCCGCAAAAACTTTAACATTGCCAATAATTGTCTCGAGGAATAAACCTGTGAAATGTGAAAGCCCTAGCAACAACCATTGAATAGATATGGAAAAGGTTAAAGTTTTATCAAAAGTATGTTAAACATCAAGGTCAAATGGTCAAAATTAATGGTGCCCAAGGAAAGGCCTTCTCACAAGAAATACACAGGTGAAATATGAAAGCCGGACCACCAATCGTTCAAAAGTTATGACCAAGGTTAAAGTTTTCCAAAAGTAGTTCAAACTCCAAGGTCAAGGTCAAAGGGTCAAAGTTGTTGGTATCCAAAGAAAGGTCTTGTTAATGTTTTCCAAAAGTAGGTCAAAATCTAAGGTCAAAGGATCAAAGTTCTTGGCATCCAAAGGAAGGTCTTGTCACAAGGATTACACATGTGAAGTATGAAAGCCCTAGCACCAATTGTTTAAAAGTTAT